CATTTAAAAAAAAAAATGGCATGCATACACGAAATTGATTCATTTTCTCCTTTTAAAATTTCGCCTCTCTAGCACATATATCTGACATATAGATATATATATGCCACTGATATGCATATCAAACTTTAATTTAATTAAGTATAAAATCTAGAAATTTCCCAATGTTCCTTAAAGGATAATATTGTGGGTAGGATATAGCTAATTAATTAGCTAGCCAATTGCCGCGAGCAAAAGGGTTTGCTCAGTCGCTCTACCGGATAGAACAATATAATGTCAAACGTAATCAGTGACTCAAACATTTCCACGACAAATTGCATAAAAATAAAATAAAATTGTCATGTTACAGCACCATATATGAATTATAGAATATATGTTCATATATAATGATATTGAGAAGTTAATACAATTGACATATATTTTGTGCGTCAAATAGTTGAAAATTTTTTTCTGGAAAGCTTACCTATATATATGTATATATATATATATATATATATCCCTCAAAACTTTTTTGCATCACAGTTTAATAAATTAAATGTCCCAATTTTTAAATGGTTGTTGAATACAAAAGAACATAAAGAGGTTTAAAAAAAAAAAAACCTTTTAAATAGTTTCACTTTTCTTTTATTAAAAAATCCAACTATGCTTTAGAAAAAAAACATATAAACATGAGTTTCTGATTGAGATCCTTTTTCTTTTAATGAAATTTTTTTTAATTATTATTATTATTATTATTTAACATTGGAGGTGAGATTCAACCCCACACATCTTAGTCAGAACACAAAAAGTCCTTTTACAAAGATGAAGTAACCACTAAACTACAACGACGTTCTCCTAATTAATCTTCATTTATTTTTAGGGGAAAAAAAATCATATAAAATGTATTTCCCTGACTTGCAAAATGTTTTGGGAGACTTGTGTGCCCAATTAAACAAGTGGGCTGATTATTAGAGTTAGAAGTTGGGCTAATTACAAAAGCCCAATGGAGGGATTCCCAGGGAAAGTCATTTTCGAATTAATCTATTAGGTTGGGCCATATAAGCGGGGCCCATATCTTCTAATACTAAATAACCAAATTTGTCCTCAAAATAACTAGCCGAGTCCCAGAAAGGCAGGAAAAGTACCTAACTGAAAATGACAACAATGTTGTTTAAACCGGCCGGATTACCCATAAATGGACCATGTTTCTTGATTCTGGTCTGAAATCCGATATAACTACTGGCATTAAGGATAATTGGACAAATAACTACTAACAGAAGACATTAATAAGATAAAGGGGTGTTTAGATTTGTGATTCAGACGAGTTCATAGCAAATAAATAATATTTTGAAAATAAGTATTAAATATAAATATCTTGAATTAGTTAAAAATACTAAAGACGAACTAAAAATCAGTTACAATTTTTGTTTCAAAAAGTTCATTTTTTTGTAGTGATTTGATGATTAATAATAATAATTATTTATAATTTAAATTATTTAATTTATTAAATTAAAGTTAATTACTAATAGTTATTTTCGAAATGCTAATCTAAACACTCAAAAATTAATCCATATTGAGGAAATGACAAAAATAATCATTTTTTAAATTTATAATATGAACGAACTCAGAATATTAATACAGAGCTGCTCGCCATTTGCAAAACCAAAAATCATTAAAACAACCCCACGTACAGATAAATTATTATCAAGAAATTAATCAAGCCAAATTACAAAAAAGAAAAAGATAAACAAATCTCAACTATTTTCATTAATTAAATCATCATTTAATGAAAAAACGGCTTGAAAGTGCTCACCACTTTCTTAACCTGATCAACAAAAGATATATACGACACCGTTCCATCATTCCCAGCGAGCACCCTGTACTTGTCCTTCCTGGTGAAGTTGGTGCACTCAAACCCTAACGTAGCCGCCAAGATTCTTTGAACGTAGTTTGCGACATCGTGGGGGCTTTTACCAGAAGAGCAAGTGGCTTCAACCGGCAATTGGTTCAAGAAGGTGACCTCGTAAACTGGTCTAGGGTTCATGAAGAAGAAGACGGGATCCAAAGCTTTCCAACCTCTTGCGGTGGTGGCGTGGAAGAAACCAACCCTGTAGTTCATGGCGACAGGGACTATTTGGTCTGTGAGTTCGGCAAATAGGGCGCTGAACCTCAAAAGAAATGGTTCTCTACATGTTGTTCCCTCCGGACACACCACTAGATCGCCTTTGCCTAATTCCCTCTTTATCTTTTCCGCGTCGACTTCACGGATTCTTGTTAATCTAACGGTTGGGATTGGTGATAGTATCTCTGACAATCTTGAAATGGAGTATGTTACGGCAGGAATTTTACGTCCGAGCACTGTGGATAAGACAACGGGGTCCATTAGAGTTCTGTGAGTGCAGACAAATAGAACGCCGTTGTTGCCACCAGAGACCGGCGGCGGTGGTTTGCCCTTTACGATTATTTTGCCCCCGAATAAACGGGACATGTAAGGAATGGCTCGCATTGGTAGCATGAGCCCCACCACAATGCGGATTGTTGCAATGAAGATGCCTAATGGCATCCATAGGAGGATTAGGAGTGCGGTGGATGGAGTTGGACGCTTTACAAGGCGGCCGTCATGGAAGATCACCGGGAGTGGGCGAAGGATCTGGTGGTCAGGGTGTATTTGCTCGGTGTGGAATGGCGGATGCATTTCTTCCTGTTAATTAACAAAATTAAGTTGATTAGATTTTAAAGCATATTTATATTTTATTTAGTAAAGATTTATTTATATTTAATTAAATAATTAACAATTTCATTCAAATTATATATGTAACTAATAATTGACAATATTAATATTTTAATAACACAAAATCAAGTTGAAAGTTTGCAACTTACCTTGCATAGAGATAAGAAATTAAAAGAACCTGATCCAGGCCTTCCTAGTCCTAAGCTAGGCTCTTCATCAACAAACAATTTGGCGACTAGCCGTGAGATTGAACTGATATCACCGTCAACTAACCCTGTGGCGTATCCAAACCGGTTCACGATGAGCTCGGTTCCGATCACCTCGTCAGCTCGTAAATGTTCCTTCACAAACCTCTCCACCATGACCCTGGGCGTCCTAGTCACCACAACTCTCTTATCATACGAGCTAAACACCCTCCAAGCCTCCATGTCAATATCATCCATATAAAACTTCGGCAACACCGCTCTCGCCACTGACTCAATCTCCGACTCCCTCACACCCACTGTAGCCACAAATATCATCAACTTAAGCCCAACATCTTCCATCCCCAACGCATCAAGCAACCGAATCACCGGCCAGAACACCAACAACAACGCAAACCGAAGCAAACCAGAAGCCTCAAACGCCACCAACATGAAATAAGAGAAGGGATCCGGATCTCTCGAAAGAGTCCCTTCGAGCTCCGAAACCACCGAAGACTCCATAGCAGCCCTTTTCTTTAAAATTTCAAGCTCAAAAATTTTTTCAGCTGGTATTAATTTTGAGAGAGAACCAAAAAGGAAAATGGTTATAAGGAAATGGAAGTAGGGTTTGTATTGACTTGGACTCTGATGCTGGAGAAATGAGGCAGGTTATCGGACCACAACTACCTCTTTATATACTTTTTGCCCTTCACCGTAGAGAGGTGGATGTATCAGCAAAGAATAAAACATTATACGCCAAGCTAATATACGAAAGATTGTTTACTTAACCCCAACAACTTTTGTTTATCTTTACTGTAATTAGGTCACGTGTATGCACCTAAAATTTTTAGACCGCCGCCATGTCCATTAATTAGGTTACTGACCATATGTATTTTTGTTTAGAATGTTTATATGTGTGGCATATATAAACACCATAGCACCCACGTTGTCGGATTGCTGCTTGGGATGGATCCACGAAATTTCCTAATTTCTAGAAATTTCTTGTTCTTCTTCCCTTTTTTCTTGGCTCTTAAAATTTGTATGGTCTTCTCCCGGATTGTTCTAAAATTTCTGCCATTTGTTTAGAAGTAGAGATTTATCAATGTCGTTTCGTGCTTCCATTAATAAATTAAATTGACTAAGGCTTTTTATTAATTTTTATGAGACAATACATTGTGTGGGTTAAAATTACAAATTGCAAGAAAATGAACTGCCTTACACTATAAGAAAATTCACATTTAGTGACTAAATTATTGATCATTAAATCTTTATTTTTCGTTACAAATTATTATTAGTGATAAAATTTAAACTGTTAGTAAAACTCTTGTCACTGATGCTCTTAATGACAAATTAAGCACTTGTCACAGAAAATAATTTTATAGTGATAAAAAAAATTAACATTGTTAACAAGTTATTTATAACAATTTTATTTGTCACAAAAAAATATTCGTCACAAATGCAATTATGATGCAAAATTTAGTTATTAATTATTAAAATTGATATTAAATAAAAACGATATTTATATAA